AGCACTGAAGAGCTCAGACACTGGTAAACATGTGGGTAAGTCCACAGCAGACCCGTGGTGGGAACCACAGCAGCAATGACGCTGATTGGTTGGAGGCATGAAAACAAAGTCAGCCTGAGATGCCTGGTGACAGCCTGTAAGAAGGAAGGTGTGATCAGAGCTAAGGGCGCCACAGGCCTTTCCTCCTGCAGGGGACGATTTCTGATTAGCTGTAGATTCTGTAATTGAGGGCACATGTGAGAAATGTGGATAGAGGTAAGCATGAGAGACTAGGAGTGAAACCCATCAGTTCCAAGCCAAAGCGGACAAATGTATGAGCAATAAACAAATAAATAAAACTAGAAAAAGTAATAAAAGAGACTTAATACATTTTCTTTTGTTGAGACTGAGTCTCGCTCTGTCACCCAGGCTGGAGTGCAATGGCGAAATCTTGGCTCATTACAACCTCCACCTCCCGGGTTCAAGCAATAAGAGACTCAATAAATTTGAGGCCGGACGCAGTGCCTCATACCTGTAGTCCTAGCACTTTTGGAGGCTGAGGCGGGCAGTTATCTGAGATCAGTTCAAGACCAGCCTGGCCAATGTTGCAAAATCCCGTTTCTTCTAAAAATACAAAAATTAGCCAGACGTGGTGATGGGTACCTATAATCCCAGCTACTCAGGAGGCTGAGGCAGGAGAATCACTTGAACCTGGGAGGCAGAGGTTGTAGCGAACTGAGATCCTGCCACTGTCCTACAGCCTGGAAAACAAGAGTAAGACTTCATCTCTGAAAAAAGAAGAAAAAAAAAAAAGCATGCAGGGGACAGATACACCATCCATTCAGGAGAGCAGACATGTCTGGGTAGGTGAGGAACCCAGGTAGGAGAGGGAACACAGGATGCGTTCAGTGGATTTGTTACGCTTCCATTCTAAAAACAGAAACTGACACCCTTACATTTCTTACCATTATACTCTAAACTTCTTTTCTTTTCTTTGAGACGGAGTTTCTCTCTTGTTGCCCAGGCTGGAGCGCAATGGCACAATCTCAGCTCACTGTAACCTCCGCCTCCCGGGTTCAAACAATTCTCCTGCCTCAACCTCCTGAGTAGCTAGGAGTACAGGTGTGCGACACCATGCCTGGCTAATAGTTTGTATTTTTAATAGAGACAGGGTTTCACCATATTGGCTAAGCTGGTCTTGAACTCCTGACCTCAGGTGATCGACCCACTTTAGCTTCCCAGAATGCTGGGATATCAGGTATGAGCCATGCGCCCGGCCCTATACTCTAAACTTTTCAATATGCTTTGAATATTTCATAATTTAAAAGAGGAGCTAGGTACTATTCATGCTTGCTAAGTAGGAATTAGGAAGCTGGAAGCCATCCCTCACCCTGTGTGCCCTACGTGGCTGACCATCTCTCTCTCTCTCTTTTTTTTTTTTTTTTTGAGGCGGAGTCTCGCTTTGTTGTCCAGGCTGGAGTGCAATGGAGTGATCTCAGCTCACTGCAACCTCTGCCTCCCAGTTTCAAGCAATTTTCCTGCCTCAGCCTCCCAAGCAGATGAGAGAGATTACAGGCATCCGCCACCATGCCCAGCTAAATTTTTTTGTATTTTTATTAGAGACAGGGTTTCTCCATGTTGGTCAGGCTGGTCTCAAACTCCCAACCTCAGGTGATCCACCCACCTCGACCTCCCAAAGTGCTGGGATTACAGGCATGAACCACCACGCCCAACGGGCTGACCACCGTTTTTTTTTTTTTGTTTTTTTTGTTTTTTTTTTTTTGAGATGGAGTTTCTCTCTTGTTACCCAGGCTGGAGTGCAATGGCGTGATCTCGGCTCACCGCAACCTCCGCCTCCTGGGTTCAAGCAATTCTCCTGCCTCAGCCTCCTGAGTAGCTGGGATTACAGGCACGTGCCACCATGCCCAGCTAGTTTTTTGTATCTTTAGTAGAGACGGGGTTTCACCATGTTGACCAGGATGGTCTCAATCTCTCGACCTTGTGATCCACCCGCCTCAGCCTCCCAAAGTGCTGGGATTACAGGCTTGAGCCACCGTGCCCGGCTTGACCACCTCTTTATACTGGGAACAAGCTCCTCTGTTTCCTGGGTCCCCGAGGCTGCCTCCGCACATTTGGAGCAGGGCCTCGTGTGTGCTGTTGTCTCCCCTGGAAGTCCGCAAGTCAAAAGATTCTTCCTGATTCACCCTCTCCAGGCCGACCCACCAGATCATCACTGCAAGAATCCCAGCAGCAGAGGATAGAAAAACTGCCCAAGGAATCTGAGCTGTTAAACAAGCCGTCCATCCGCAGGGGCTGCAGCAGCAAAGATTCCCTTTTCTGGGGAAACCAACAGTCGGTGCCCTGCTGGCCTTGCTGTACTTGCTGTTTGCAGAGGTCTAGGCGTCTGGAATTCTCTGCCAAGGCTGTGAGGAAGGCGGCTGACATTCCAGCTCAGCGTCACCTGCCAAAACTGCTTCCTTCTTCAGTAGGTGACTCCTTCCCCCTTGAACCTGAGATGAAGTTGTTTGCTATGATCACACCTCCATGTTACTGACAAGGTGTCCATTCCCCTGGCTGAGCTGAGCCTCTGTGGCCATGGGTGTCTTCTGAGCTCTCATGCCAGTGGTGAAGCCAAGCCTGGACTGCCTCTGGACCATGATAAGGCCCCAGAAGACACAGTCCTATTTGCTGCTTTGAGGCTGATCTTTGCTTATTTAACCACCAGGGTTACCCTGAGGCTGCAAGCGTGGAAGTAATACCCAGGTGAGCCCCTACCACCCTCCCTCCAGCCACAGACTCGCATCATGTGAGGTTCAGAGTGACAAGGGTCCTGAAGGAACAGGTCTGTGGTGATCGGCTGACAATACTCTCAGCATGCCTCCTCTGAGCCTTGAGGAATATTTGCCAGCAAGTGACTGAGGCTTGCACAGTGGGGTGGAGGGCACGGTCCTCTGGGCTCCTCAGCTGCTGAAACGGAGTCAACTTCGGTGTTTCTATCCATGAGTGAAACAGGTGTACAGTTATATACGCAGCTAAAATACATCATTTCCAAATCTTTTTTTTTTTTTTTTTGAGATGGAGTTTTGTTCTTGTTGCCCAGGCTGTCTTGCAATGGTACAATGTCAGCTCACTAAAACTTCCGCCTCCCAGGTTCAAGCATTTCTTCTGCCTCAGCTTCCCAAGTAGCTGGGATTACAGGCAGGAGCTACTACACCCAGCTAATTTTGTGTTTTTAGTAGAGATGGGCTTTCACCATGTTGGCCAGGCTGGTCTCGAAACTCCCCACATCAGGTGATCCACCCGCCTTGGCCTCCCAAAGTTTTGGGATTGCAGACGTGAGCCACCGAGCTCGGCCTATCATTTCCAACTCTTACAATGGCTTTTGAAGAGAGCTGTTATTATTATTGAGATAGAGGCTTGCTCTGATGCCCAGACTGGAGTACAGTGGTGCAATCTCTGCTCACTGCAGCTTCCTTCTTCTGGGTTCAAGCGATTCTCCTGCCTCAACCTCCCGAGTAGCTGAGATTACTTGCACCCACCATCACACCCAGCTAATTTTTGTATTTTTAATAGAGATGGGGTTTTGCCGTGGTGACCAGGCTGGTTTTGAACTCCTGACCTCAGGTCATCCACTCACCTTGGCCTCCCAAAGTGCTGGGATTACAGGCATGAGCCATCGCGCCTGGCCAGAGAGCTGCTATTATCCCCACTTTGCCAAGGAAGAAATTGAGGCTCAAAGAAGTCACATGAGTTGCCTGCATGCAAGCCAAATGTGGTCTTGGAGGTCAAAGACAGGTGGTCCTGGGGGTGGGGCAGTGGGGTGGGCAGGCCTGAGCTCTGTGCTGGGCTGGTGCTCTTTTGGCCTCAAGTTCCTTCTGCTGCGGCAGCACTGATTGAGGAAAGTGAGTGGGAGGTGTTAGACCGTAGTAGTTTCACAGCAGCAAATGACTGTCACAAAGGGCAAGCTTGTTCCTTGCCTGCCTTTTAGTTTATTTTTTAACTACCACTCACCACAACAGAAACTGGTTATCTGCAGGTGCACAGCTATTCTCAAAGAGTGAGCAGGTGAGCAGCTTCTTATTAGAGCTCCCAGGATCAGTCAGAGTCCGCCCTCCCCCCCACCCCCGCCACCTCTGCTGCCCCAGGAGGTCACCTCACGTGCCGTGCCGGCTGCTTCACTGCTGACTGGATCCCAAGGCCAGCCTATGACCTTCCAGGGCCCTTTCCTCTCCTGTCCAAATGGGACCAAACCAAGCAGGTGATGACCTTTTTTTTTTTTTTTTTTTTTTTTGAGACGGAGTTTCGCTCTTGTTACCCAGGCTGGAGTGCAATGGCGCAATCTCGGCTCATCGCAACCTCCGCCTCCTGGGCTCAGGCAATTCTCCTGCCTCAGCCTCCTAAGTAGCTGGGATTACAGGCACGCGCCACCACGCCCAGCTAGGTTTTTTTTTGTATTTTTAGTAGAGACGGGGTTTCACCATGTTGACCAAGATGGTCTCGATCTCTCGACCTCGTGATCCACCCGCCTCGGCCTCCCAAAGTGCTGGGATTACAGGCTTGAGCCACCGCGCCCGGCCCCAAACTGCTTTCTAAGGATGGTGGGCCCCGAAGAGCTCAGAGCCTTTGCTGCTGGGTGAGGTGAAACTTGGAGTCAGACCTGAGTTGCTGAGGTCTAAGAAGAGGCTGAGCTGCGTCTCCTGTGGTGACCTTCCTGGTTCTTCACCCAGCCTGCAGCTTCTCCTTGAAATCAAAGCTGAACCCATATTTTACAGTGTTCTGTTTTCCCACCAATGTGTTTCTGCTTGTAAATCTGTTAAGAAAGACTGGGCAGGCAAGCTAAGTGGGGAGATGTGTGTGGGGACTCAGGACACACAGCCCCGAGGGCGACCCAGAGCTGTGTGCTTATGGGCTAGGGCCTCGTCCAGATCCAGAGAAGAATGAACAGAACATTATGTTTATTGGCCATTCATACTTATCCTGGAGATTTATTTTATGTTTTGTTTTTAATTTAAAAAAAATAGAGCTTTTCACAGTGGCAGTATCGTAGCCCAGAGGTTTATCTGAGGCACGATTATTGCTAATTGAAAACTTTTCCCAATATCCCGCCACGATGACTTGAAATATAGGTGGCATTAACAATTTTTGGCAGTCTCTATGGGACTGAATTTAAAAAAAAAAAAAAAAAGTAGGTATCACTATGCTGATCCAGGCTGGTCTCAAACACCTGAACTCAAGTGATCTTTCAGCCTCAGCCTCCCAAAGTGCTAGGATTACAGGAAACAGCCATCACATCAGGCCTAGTCTGAAGATTTCTTCCAAACATGAAGTATTCTTTTTCTTTTTTTTTTTTAATTTTATTTTATTTATTTATTTATTTTTTTTTTGATACGGAGTTTCGCTCTTGTTACCCAGGCTGGAGTGCAATGGCACGATCTCGGCTCACCACAACCTCCACCTCCTGGGTTCCGGTAATTCTCCTGCCTCAGCCTCCTGAGTAGCTGGGATTACTGCCCAGCTAATTTTTTGTATTTTTAGTAGAAATGGGGTTTCATCATGTTGACCAGGATGGTCTCAATCTCTTGACCTCGTGATCCACCCGCCTCGGCCTCCCAAAGTGCTGGGATTATAGGCTTGAGCCACTGCGCCCGGCTATTTATTTATTTTTTAAAGACGGGGTTTCACCATGTTGGTCAGGCTGGTCTTGAACTTCCGACCTCAGGTGATCTGCCAGCCTTGGCCTCCAAAGTGTTTGGATTATAGGCGTGAGCCATGGCGCCCAGTCTATTTTTCTTTTATTTTTATTTATTTATTTTTTGAGACAGGATCTCACTCTGTCGCCCAGACTGGGGTGCAGTGGTATGATCTCAGCTCACTGCCATCTCCACCTCCAGGTTCAAGCAATTCTCCTGTCTCAGCTTCCTGAGTAGCTGGGACTACGGGCACATGCCACCATGCCCAGTTAATTTTTGTATTTTTAGTAGAGATACGGTTTCACCATATTAGGCTGGTCTTGAACTCCTGACCTCAGATGATCCGCCTGCCTCAACCTCCCAAAGTGCTGGGATTACAGGTGTGAGCTACCTCGACCGGCCCTATCTTTCTTTTAGATGTGTCAGAGATCTCTACATATTACAGATATCAATATGTACATAGTGTATCAATTTAAAGGGGCACCAAATGATTGCGTCAGGATTCCAGGCTGAGGTTGCATTCAGGGGTGGGTCCTGTGCTCTGCAGAAGCATGAAGTCCCAGCCCACAAAGCCCCTCTGGTGGAAGTCAGACTCCTCCTAACCACACACACACAGGAAACACTCTTAGATTTACAGTCAGAATTGGAGACATTGAGACATTTTTAAAACATGGTGCCAGGCTCGATGACTCACGCCTGTAATCCTAGCATTTTGGGAAGCCAAGGAGGGCAGATAACAAGGGCAAGAGATCGAGACCATCCTGGCTAATATGGTGAAACCCCATCTCTACTAAAATATAAAAAAGTAGCCAGGCTTGGTGGTGTGTGCATCTGTAGTCCTAGCTAGTTGGGAGGCTAAAGCAGCAGAATCGCTTGAACCCGGGAGTTGGAGGTTGTAGTGAGCTGAGATCGCACCACTGCACTCCAATCTGGCCAACAGAGCAAGACTCTGTCTCAAGTTAAAAAACAAAACAAAACAAAAACAAAAACAAACAAAAAAACAAAGACAAAAACAAAAACAATAAATAAAAAAAAAACAGGGTGGGTGAGGCGGCTCATGCCTGTAATCCCAGCATTTTGGGAGGCCAAGGCGGGCGGATCACAAGGTCAAGAGTTCGAGACCAGCCTGACCAATATGGTAAAACACCATCTCTGCTAAAAATACAAAATTTAGCCGGGCATGGTGGCACGTGCCTGTAGTTAATTTCAATTTTTATGTTAAAGAAAAAAAAAAATAGGATCATGCAAGTTGAAATATAAATTTCCACTGTCTTTCAACAAATCAGGATCCCCCAGCCCCACAGCAGCCACCCTCTGCAGCAGTGGCCTCCCTTACACAGAAATACGCTTCCGGTTCAGCCCAGTTCCCGTCACCCCCAAGACTAGGTCCCCCACACTCACATCGCCCCAGCACTGTTGGCTCCCTTATTCCCAACATATTTCGCACACTCCCGTTACTGGAATTTGAGTTTGCCACACTATCTAGAGCAAAGCCTTCAATTTATATACAGGCAACGAGGAATGGTAGAGGGACTTGCCCAAGGGCACAAAGCCTATGCTGGTACAGCCAAGACTTCGGTGGGTTCTCCTGGGACCCAGGCTCTCCTGGAGATCAACTAACACTTCAAACCCCAGGGATTGCAGAGCCTGGAGGAGAGAAAGGAAATGTGACTTGTGTTGGGGTCACTGGGTTGCATCTGAATTTGCTGACACTGAGCTGTGGCAGAGGAACTCCTGGCCCCGAGGGAGATGCCTAGTTGTCTGGGCATGGTAGGTCCGCCTTACCCAACGCCCTGTTCCCACGGGGATAGAGGAAGCAGCAGTGGTTGAGGTGAAACCAGGGGTCGAGCAGCCCTGGGAGGCAGAGGCAGCCACAGGCAGCTGCAGCAGGCTGATGCATGGCCCACAGGCACCCTCCACAACCTTCTGCAAAAGTTGCTGTTATGTGCAGAATTGCAGAGACATGCAATGCCTGAGAGCGGGAGCTCAGGAGCCCTCCCCCATGTGTGCAGGTGGCCCTCGGTGACTCAGCCCAAACCCCAAACCATGCACATTAGGCAGCTGAGGGTTAAAAAAAAAAAGGTTTTGATGCACAGATGGCTGCGGTTTGAGTAGAGGAGTAGGGGTTGGGGGAAATGCAGCCTGCCTTGTCTTGCTCCAGGCCCTGTGGAGGGGTTGGCCCTGACCTGGGAGGAGGGGGTAGCACTGAGGCACAGAGGCTGGTGGCCGGGCTGCAAAGGAGTAAGCTTGCCCCGTGGCGGTCTGTCCGCTGCCCTAGCTGAGTCCTCCCGGCCGGCTCCTCCTCTCCTTTTGTTCAGGGAGTTCCCTCCGCCTCCGTCTCCCCTCACTGCAGGCTGGTGTCCTATTACCCTCTGGGATCTCTGCTGTCCAGGGATGACCCAGAGATGGGCTTGGAATGTCAGGAGAGCAGGGATGCACCGCCAGGGGCTTCTGAGCCTGTTCCCAAAACCAACCCACCAACTCTAGGCAAATCTCCGCTGCTTGCAGTTGTGTGGTTCTCTGTAGAATGAGGGGTTTGGCCTGAATGAATTTGAGGCCCCTTTTCCAGTCATAATAGGCCCTATGATAGGCACTGGCCCTGCAGTCCTGACACCATATGCAGCTGCCTAAGCCTGGTCTGAGCTCCAAGAGCCTGCTGGCCGGAGCCCACCCTCCCTCTCCTCCTCCACACTGCCCCTTGAACTACACAGGACTTTTCTCAGGATTGTTCTAGCAAACTTTCTGCTCCAGCTTCCTAGCCTGGGTGTGAGAGGTGGCCTAAGGGCCTGACCACAGCACCCCGGCTTAAGCCCAGGCCCTAAAATTCTCTCTGTGACCCAGGGCAGGTCAAAGCTCTTTCCTGAGCCTGAGTTTCCATCACCAGGGACAGAGATGAGCCAGCCTGTCCTGCCTCCTGGACTCAGGCAATGTCCACCCTTCATTCCACATGGATTTATGGAGCTGTGGCCACATCAGTCACTTTACCAGCTCCTGCAAGAACAATAATAAGAGAAGCAAAACAGGAGCAGAAGCGCAGTGTGAAGTAGAGCCAAGTCAGGGACCAGTTGGTGCGGGTGAGTGGAGGGTGTGTTAGTGAGGATGGGGAGGAAAGGTGTCTCTGAGGAGGTGACATGTAAGCAGAATTGCGGCAGGAACCACCGCTGAGCTGATCTTGGAGAGGACAGTCCAGGCACAGAAATGGCCGTGCAGAGGCCCTGAGGCGCTGTTCAGGGATTGGGAAGACGGCCTGTGTGACTAGGGCAGAGTGGGAACAGGTCCACGGAGAGCGGGGCTCCAGGCAAGAGGGTCAGGTCTGGGCTTGGGCTCCAGTGCCAGGACTAGGGACGGAGAGAAGGGGTTCAATAGGGGTGTGTGTTACAGGGAGGGCTGACGGTGCTTGCCCATGACAACTGTGGAGTATAAAGGGGAAAAGTGTGTCTGGGATAATTAATAACTTTTGTCCTGAAGTCTTGTGTCTGTAATGAGGACTTCAGAGAGGCTGTGTGGCCAAGTGTCCTTGCCAAGCCTTAGGCTGGCTGTCAAATGTCTAGAAAGACCCTGTCCTTCTCTAAGCCATGTTTATCACTATCCCGCTCCCCCACAAAAACATCTACACATACATACAAAAACGCCCAGGCCTTGTCCCATCCCAGGGAGTACCACGTCAGGTGGCCCGACCTGCTCACGACACCTTGCCAGCCTTGATTCCCCAACACTCCTGGATCCTGCAGCACCCCAGCCCACTGCGTCTCAGAGGCCCTGGTAGCTGCAGGCAGGCGGGTTCAGCTCTGGCTCTGCTGCTGCTCAGCCGTATGAACAAGGCCTGGCCACTGGGAGCCTTGGGGTCCTCATCTCTCACCTGCTGGCCTCAGGATTCCTGGCTCAACTTGGTGCTGGGTAGAAGCCCCGACCACTACTCAGCCAGGCACTGGGCAGGTGTCCACCAAGCAGTGGCCATTACGAAGTCCCAGCTGGGGCTGGGTGGGTGAGGGGGGTGCCAGCCTCTCATTTCCCCTTTACTCCCCATCCCTGCTGCCACCACCCAGCCAGGCCCAGAGGATTGATCCATTACTCCCATTCTCTGAGCCAGGTGGGAATAAAACCCCAAACCCTGGCCGGGCACAGTGGCTCACTCCTGTAATCCCAGCACTCTGGGAGGCCAAGGCAGGCGGATGACCTGAGGTCGGGAGTTCAAGACCAGCCTGACCAATATGGTGAAACCCTGTCTAAAAAATAACCCAAACCTTTCCCCAGGTGAGGGGATGTGGATGAGTAAAGTAGCTCAGGACGGCTCTGAGCAGAGCCCAGCCCTCGAAGCAGTAGCACTGATTCGTCCTGAGACGGAGGCCTGCCGCAGGAGCTCAGGGAAGCAGAGAGCCCAGCTGGCAGTGAACATCTACCCGCTGGTGCCAGAGGCAGTGCTGGGCAGCCCAGAAGAGGCAGAACAGGCTGGGGTTTCCTGGGAAGGCT